GTCAATTACAGACATTCTGTTCATGTGAGCAGCTGTCAGCACCAGTCATCCTCCAGACTCACGACGGAGCGTCTGAACCAATCATTGATCAGCTGACTGATTTAAATACATCTCAACATTCACGAGGTACTTTGCATTGAATGTTTATGGTTGACTGTAGGTGTGTAGAGGGTAGAACCTGAGGAGGGGCCTTGTGCGCAATATCTGAGGTGAAGCTGTGATCTACAAAGGAAAGATGCGCAGAAACGTGCGTACGCACGGTTTTATAAATCTGAAATTTTTTTTGGCGTACGCCATTTCCGTCTTTTGGCCGTACGTATGGCTTCCATGCAATCTTTTATAAATCTGACCCCAGGTCCATATTTTAGAAGCAGCAGATGGTAGAACCGAGGCAACAGTAACTGAGTCCAGAGCAGGTAGCGCCCTCTGCTGGATCAGCATAGCGTTACCTTCAAGTTACAGATCGTTTTGCAACATGTCTGTTAAATTTGTTTCAAAAGGTGGAGACAAGAAGAAACGAGGTGCGACTTGTAATCCAGTATCTGTGATTCACAGCAACAGATTTGTGCAGTTGCATTCACTTATTTATGTTTGTGCACATAGAAAAAAAATATTGTAGAACATTTGTTTGTGACAAGACATTATTATACAAGTGTGAAATCATTTTGCAACATTTGTTTTGGTGCAGTTGTTGCAAAATTGTGAACGTTACAGGTTTTTGATGTGCAACTTGTAGAATACTATTTGTGAACATGCGTTTAACAATTTGAAGAAGTGTAACTGCTGTTTTGTATGTGTAATAGATTAAAAATATTACAAATACAAGTTCATGGTTACAAATCACAAGTTCACTGTTACACATCACAAGTTCACTGTTACACATCACAAGTTCACTGTTATACATCACAAGTGCACAGTTACAAATTTTAAATCATTTTACAAGTTACAAATTCTGTTATACAAAACACAAATAGTTAAGAAACATTATTGGCTTCATAGGGTCGTACCACTCTCCCCTCCTGTGCCTGTGCCCACTCCCAAGGTTTGCATGTAGACACAGGGTTTTGGGTAAGAGTAGTGGCGGAGTGGAAACTGGCACCACGCCGGCCCCTGCCTCTTCTTTTTCCCTTTTTAACTGCTCTATAGAACAACATGCACCAACNGCTGCAACCACTTAAACTTAAACGCTGTTCAAGTTTGTAGATTTAGGTTGAATAATTTGTACAAAGAGCTAAAGAGAAAAAAAATCAATTAAAATTATATAAAATTATTTTAAAAAGACAACTCAAGTTTGTTTGATAAAACTGGAAACAGTTCAGATCATCTGACAACTTATAATAAATRTTTAATGTAGCTATTATTTAGATCAGTAGTGACCAACAACTGGTGGCACTCGGGCCATTATTTGGTCCACAAAAGCATGACAGCCGGACCGAACAAAAAATAAAAAAAAATAAATAAACAAACAATTCTTAGAATATTGCCCTCACCCCAGTGAGAAAATTAACTCCTTCACTGTTGAGTTGTTTGGGGCTTTTTATTTGTAAATAAATAAATAAATGGTTAGAAAACAATATAAGACTTTTACGTTTGTTTTATTCTGGATGTCTTTATTCAGAGGAACTATTTTAAGTTTGTGTTATTTAAATTTTGTTACTATTTTAACTGTTACTTTTGCAAAAGCTTTTTTCATATTTAAATGTTTTTACTAATCCTAGCAGGGGAATTAAAATGAGCACAGCACAAAGATAAAACTGAGGTCAGCTGACCTATTTCCAGTCTTTGTTTTGCTGCCTTTTCATTTATTCAACATAATTTCCATGAYATGCATGAATCAAATTCATTTTTTGAACATATTGGCGACAGCGCGTCCTGCGGACCTCGCTGCTGCGCACTGCGACCRACAGTCAGCTGAGCTGCGTCTCTCTCTCTTTTCTCCTCTCCGACACTCCGAAAACCTTTAGTATTTAAGCGAAATATTTGAAAAGCAAGCATTTATTTGAGTTCTACAGGGTTACATTCTCRCCTAAAAACATTCTCAAACTTAATTTTGTGTCAAGGARAAATTTGAAAACGTTCTCACAGCTTTCTTTCCTGCTTTTGATTCAGACAGCTTTCAACCGCAATGCATCATGGGATTGGGTAGGTGAAGAAGGATGAATTAAAAGCAGTTTTTATGTACAGACACTCCTTTTTCAGATGGATTGGGGGTCCAGGGGGGTGGGGGGGCACTGATTGGTGGGCCTGATGGATAGAGCTTCATCAGAGCTAAACAAAAAATAAATAAAATCTGAAGCTCCTATGTTGAACAGTTTCTGAGTTATAAGCATTTTTGCGTGTCCTTACACCCCCACTTTGGATGGAGCCCCCTCTTCAAATATGGGGTCTATCGTCGAACCGTTGGCTGGTGCAGTGTAGGTCAGACTCATCTACAGCCCTGCCAAATTTCATGTTGATCGGTGCAGCCGTTTTTGTGCTACCGATGACCAAAAATCACTGAAAAAAATAAAATAAAATAAACAGTACAAAAACAATATGACCCCGCTTTGCGTGTGGGGGTCATAATAATGAAATACAGAACTAATATACAGCAGGCTAAGCTAACCTAGCATAAAGCTAACAACACCATAGGATTATAATATTAAAACACAAACAAAAAACAAACTCAAGGAGAACTGAGGAGAGACTAGCTGCGTTTCGGTTCACCATGAAAATGCRTAAATTTGAATTTCGATAATAAATTTGCTCAATGGAAACACRTCATTTTCGAACAAACTTCATTTTTTAAACAAAATGTTTTTGCGCTAGGATGAGGTGGTATTTCGGCCGTATCGAAATTAGTGTTTTTCACAAAACTGCAATGGAAACACATTTTTCGCATCACGGGAGTAACGTGATCAACAACCGGCTGTTTCTACTGATGAAAAAGACGACGAAGAAGACAACAGGAAGTAGAAGTAGTAGTACAATCACTGAAGTAGTAAAAGAAAGTAGTAAAATCACTACAATTTCCCAAAAACACAGCATACGTAGCCGCTCCCAGGTAGGGACTTGTCTCTGGAAAGCCTCGATAAAAGACGCCGACGTCTCCTCTGATGATGAGCGCTAGTGT